AAAAAGCTTTGCTTTTTCTTTCTTCCATCAACCAACATCAAGATCACAGCTGCCCTCTTCAGCTGACAGTTTTAGATGGCAAAGCCTTTGGGACAAGGATGTGTACTTATCATCTCATACTGCTGATCTTCTCGAGCAGTCTCCATTCATACAGACACATAACACATAAACACAGTTTGTGCTTATAAAGTTAATTGGCTACTCAAACAACAGTATCATAAAAGCCATGCTTGAAGTAACAACATCTGGTGCAAATATCATCAGGAAAGGAGGCGACATTAAACTGAGTTCCTCAATGCTTAGTGTTTCAAAATCCCATGACACTGTTTGTAAGAGTGTGGGCGTTAACTCTGGCGTCCTGGCAAAAATACATTCTGGGATTTGATCTGCCAAAAAATCCCCCCTTGGTAAAAATGGACAAGCAATTTCTTACTTCTTTGCTCAATACTTCCAAAGCTCAACAAGTGTAAGAGTATGACAAATTCTAGATTTAGTTGAGCAAGATTCTAAAATGATATTGAACATCTGTAGAATTGTGACTGTACTGAAATTTAAAATAATCTAACTGGAGCATCCGTATCTTTGAATTGTTAGTCTCACTGAACTTTTAATTTAAATAAAATATATTTTTTATCACAGATAAAATGAAAAACAAAAGACAAAACAAAAAATCCATACTGCACAGACATCCATACCGCAAAGCCTTAAAAGATTTTTTTTAAATCATATATTATTTAAAAAGCTCTTTCATTAATGACATGAAAAATTAACCTTTCATTAATTCTGTTTCTGTAATAATAAAGTATAACTTAAAATAGAAGCAAAGGAGATTGATAAAATCTCATGTGTACAAAAAGCATAGTTGGGGAGGTATGATAAACATGTATTTGGGTTAGAAAGTTTTTATTTTGATATATATCAGCATTGCATCAAATTTGATATCTCCTTTTATTTATTTAATTGATTGTCGTGAACCTGACAATTAAATAAAGCAAGTCTTTTAAAAACTTTTTTCATTATGTTTATTTACGTTTAGTAACAAATATTTATTATACTTAAGAAAAAACTTGAATACATGTTTATGCTAATGTTTCAGATAGCAGTTTTACAATTTAAGATACTACAGTGCCACCTAAAAGTATTCATTAAATTCTCTTTTACCATTGAAAGGATGATACAGGACATTTAGACGTATAAAGATACATACGTTTTTGCTGATCATGTAAAAAATTCAATGTTTGACAAATGACATACTGATTATTATTTATCATAAACACAATCACAAATTGCAACCCATGCGGGTCCGCATTCACTTACAGTACATTTCTCATTTATATCTGCTTACTCCTAACAATTGCAGTTTCTTTTGCGTCCACAAGAGGGAGTACACTACTTCTCTCACATCCAAAATCAAGTGGAAAAATAAATTTCAAACATTAACAATGCTAAATATATGTATAGTTTTAAAGTAATGAACCGATCAAGTTTCATTAAAGATGATGTCAAACGAATTCAAGTGTAAATTGTGTTATTGTTTCTTGCTTTTCAGAAGTAAACCTTTTGAAAAGCACCTGATTCATTAGACGATGACAATAATGGTAATGTTTTTAACATTAACCTATGATTGAAAACGGGCAGACAATAGCTTCCACTGTGTTACACAGTTTTTAATATATATAGTAGCTTAAATGTGAACTATGATATGGACTGTATTAATATTCCTTAGAGATTTTTTTAACAGTACATTTTTCGTTCAGCAGTGCTCTTGCGTACTGAAACAAACTTGGTTCGTGGGTTAAGGTGGATTTCTGTGTCCGTTTTTTGAGGAATCAGACAGGTGTCTACTTTTATAAAAACTATTTTCGTAGTTGTTGCATGATAGTTTCGCAGTTGCTGAAAAAACCCCAACGAGTGACATTTCTGTAGTAAACGCTATACGTTACACACGTTTTTTTTTTTTAAAGCGCACATTGATAAGTTCCGCTTTTTAGAAATTCGGTGATAGGACCTCATTAAACCCCGTGAGGCTGAAATCTACTTTTTTTTTTGCAGTTCAATCGTAGATATCTGTATTACCCTAGAAATGTGTTCATGCATGAGGGTGGTATGGTTAGATAGGTCACACGGCCTCTCGTTTGTAACCTTATTTCTCTTGACGTTAACACCAAGGAGGGTTTCTTCACTATTGGTCAAACCCAAGTAACAGTACAATCAACAAGTCAAGGAAAAGGTGACTATTGGGAATTCCATTTAAAAACGCAAGGTATTGTTTTTCGATTACGTCTTACAATTATAGAAAGGATGGATGTAAACAGAAAAAGAAGTGGTGTTCGGATTTCACCTATTAATTCTTTGGATTTCTATTAAAATTAGTTTCTTAATCCGAAGTAGAGGAAACCATGAAAGAAAAAAACACCAACTTTGTTTTTTTTAGCCAACTGAAATATTGTTCGAGGCAACCCGCCTTTCTTCAGTCACTATTCTTCACAACCAGAGAACATTTCTTTTTTCTGTCAAAAGTCATTTGCAGTAAAATTTTATGAAGTCATTGGCTCAAGACTAATGTTCTGGCACATTTCACGTAGCACAACTTTATTACCCAGATTATAAAGACTTAGTCTGCAGAGTTTACTTTCTAAATATGCAAATAAAAAAATATACTGTACACAGTTTGTTACAAGTGATAACAGGTAGGTCTGAAGTCTTAAAATGTAGGTGGCACACTTTATCCTTTTGTCGGCGCAAAAAAGTAGTTTTTTCCAAACCCTGAAAGCATACTCCTATCGATATATCTGTTCAATATTACACATTTGCTGTGTTCACTGTATGGTAAGTGATTTGTTAGAACCCTTCAACCTCTAAACATGAAACATAAAAAATCCTCAAACCATGTTATCCGTATATTGCTCGTTTTTGGCAAATTATAATTTAGGTAGGACATCACATTTAACATATATCAGATCTTTAATTGATAAAATTATTTTTTAATCCCGTTTAGGTCGCATTGTGTGTTTGACGTCTTTTCATTTTGAATTAGTGATCTAGTATAACTGTAGACATATAGTCATCAAATGACACAAGTTACTTTAAGTGTAATAAAATACTTTTACTGTGGACTATAATTAATATTTGCTATTTTCAATATAATTTAATGTTTACTGATAGGATGAACCAACGATAATTTCTGAAATGTCCCATTAGTCTTAAAATGCTTAGATTTAAAAAGATTAAATTTAATACATACACCTATTTCATACTTAATTCTTCTAAATGTAGGATGTATGCTAAAAAGCTGTATCGTATGGTCAGACAGTGTTAAGGATGCTGGATTCTCCGAAACATAACGGGTAATCTCCGACCGGCCACCCAGATACAGTATTTCTCTGTATTTCAGTGTAGTACATTGTATTTTCCCCTCCCACTGACACAAATAGACGACAGGTGAAAAAGTTACACTCATACTGAGAGTTAGGTTTGGTATTTAACTCTCACCGCGACAGCCTTTTCTTCTGACAGACGTACAGTACTACAAATGCCCCGTGCCAGTAGTTGCAAGATGTCCAAATAGGAATATGTTCCTATCCATCATGTGGATCAATGTCCATCAGTTGACCAAGATTCTGGAGGTACACCCAGTTTCCAGTCAACCAAACAAACAAGCCTACCTAACGATCAGTCGTGTTGGACACAGTGCAATGCCCATATTAACTGTTCTGGATACAAACGGATCGAAAGCTACAGTATGTCTCTTCATCCACTTCCACCACAACAAAGAACTGCATTAACTCCAGCTAAAATATGGATTTTATTGCAGTACCCATGGGTTTCATTAATGAAAATGATGTCACCAAGCCCTGTTCATTTTTTCCCTAAAGATTGGATAGCCGCCTCATTCCTATCAGAAAGAGTTCTAATCCGCTTCGAAGCTGTAGGTCTCCATTATTAACCGAACACCATTAGCATACTTATAAAAACTAACTTCAGAAATGAATTCCGAGTGGCCTTTCCCCTGTGTTCAGGGTGACTGCAGCACAGTAACGCATTGTAGTCGCTGCTCGCCACCAATTCCACAGACAGACACCCATCCGATAGCATACAAAACTGCTGTAGTACAGTGTATCCTTCGATAGGTAGTTTAATTAATGTAGTTACAGCTATCTCGACTCATCTACAAACGTACCATCTAGGTTAATATAATATTAACATGAAAGTTGCTAAGTAAATATATACTTTTATAGCTCACTCAGTGAATAATGCACGTTTGCGGAATGCTAACATATGTCTTGAGAAACCCTTAGCAATGAACTCTAGAATGCTAACTTTCCTAGATGTTATTATCTTATCTGTAGGTTACCACATTCATCTGTCCACATGTTTACATTTTAACGTAGTGTAAAATAACTAGTACCAGGCTTGAAAAAGTCCCCCTCAGTTTTAATGTTGGACCAGTTTATTCCTAATGTATTACTTTATACGTTTTTATAATACTGTTTTACCATGCTAATCTTTGGTGGCCTAAATTGTGAGTTTATTCATGTTTTAACAATATTTACCTGATTATTACATATTGACAACAAATGAATGCTGCTGAAAGCAATCCACTGGGTAATTGTGAGACATTTAAACGACAAACAAGTAAGACGATTGGAAAACAACCGGATTGGGGGCATTTTGTCAACAGCACACTGCAAGGTTTCAAACAGTTATCTTAAAAAACTATAAAGCGGATGAAACTACGACGAAAGAGAACAAAATAAAGAAAAAACTTGAATAAACTTCACATAATGTGTATTGTCAAATTTACGTAAAGTTCCTTTTATTATTCCTGAATCAGGCATGTAGAAAACAGGTCCATAATTCACTTATTTTGTTAATTTATAGAACTGTAGCCGTAATACCAGGGACCGTGACAGTATATAAATAACGGTGTCTTGAGATAACCTCGTGTTATTTTCCACTGTCTCAAATAAAAAGAAAAGTTAATATGAAAGCGCCCTTACCTTACACTCAAAACAGTTCAAATTCCTATAAGAAAAACGGTGACAAGTAAAGTGATGTGTATCCTTTCACTGCAGCAGTTACACTAAGCCTTTATCGAAAGCCTTGCAGTCTGCTCCCTAGCTGCCTCTCTGCATCACTTTTTAGCTCTGAAAAGCAGAAAGGCTGGAGCGGAGAGATCTGTGTTTCTGATTGGCTGCCATTCACAGTCCCCGCAAAAAAAGCACCCTCACAACGCGAAGTGCTGGTGATGGAGCTACAGAATTGAGAATGAGGAGGTCAGAGTCTGCGGAAAGGTTGGATATTCCAGTAAGACATTTCCATGTGAATGCTGTGGGAGTTGGGGCAGAGGACAGTTTTGTAAAGACGCTCGTGTTACAGATATCCTCTCTGATGTTTGATCTCTGAAGGCAAATCCAGTCGGTTCTAATCTCTGCCGGCTGATAATAAGAAGGCGATACAGTTGTCCAACTAGTAAATCATTTTTTTAATAAGGCGTAGCCATTGCCCCTACCCCCACCCCCCACTCACTAACAGAGGTGATTGATTAAATTTCAAGAACCATGCTCGCACATTTCAATACTTACACGGATAGCATGTAGATTTGTGTTTTTCGTTTTGGGTGCATGGTTTTCTAGTTGCTCAGTTTAATATTACATTAAGTTAGAAGCTGCGGTGCTCAGATTGGATTTTTAAATAAAAAATCGTTCTTGAATGTAATAAGGTTCTTCATACAAACATACAAAGTACGTTAATTACTTTAAAATAACATCTTGACTACCGCCTACTCGGACTAATATGTGTTAAAGTTTGTTAAAAGAATGACAAATAAAAGCGAAATTACGCTCAGAGCATACCCTTGCCAGTGTGTGGATCCTACATCCAGTATAATTATGTCGTATACTTAAATGTGTGGCTTTTTATTTTTTTAAGCTCTACCGAATTTTCTTTAATAAAAGGAAATCCTTGAAACGAAATAAATAATAACACCATGTGACTTTATTTAATGGATGGGCATGTGTATTTATTGCCTTTAGAAGAGCACTCTGTGACTGTTCAGACTGGTGATTTATTTAAAATGATTATCTGTATAAATGATAAGGAATAAAGAAAAGATCACTTGTCCCTTCCTTATTTGTTTGTTCAGTTGCTGTTAACAGCCTAGTTATCTCAGAATCACAATCATTTCTCAAAGGATTGCATTAATTGGTTTCAGCAACATGACCACCTACTTTATTCCAGACACAACATTTTCATATTTAGAAGTGCCTCCTATTTTTAGTTCTAAATTTACCCCTGTTTTCAAGTTTGGAACAGTAATTTGAGTTACCTTTGTAAACACTTCTATGATTCTGAAGATCCAGATAAAATCCTCTTTTAGTCCCCTGTGTAGATCATTAACTGGAGGTAACATACAATTACTAGCAGGCAAATGTCCGAATAAAAACACCTGTAGAAGCCAGCTGTCTATCAGATCTACAGTATAATAATACTACTACTACTACTACTACTACTACTACTAATAATAATAATAATAATAATAATTGCTTACACTTACATAGCGCTTTTCTGGACACTCCACTCAAAGCGCTTTACAGGTAATGGGGTCTCCCCTCCACCACCACCAATGTGCAGCATCCACCTGGATGATGTGACGGCAGCCATAGTGCGCCAGAACGCTCACCACACATCAGCTATCAGTGGGGAGGAGAGCAGAGAGTAATGAAGCCAATTCATAGATGGGGATTATTAGGAGGCCATGATTGGCAAGGGCCAATGGGAAATCTGTCCAGGACGCCGGGGTTACACCCCTACTCTTTTCGAGAAACGCCCTGGGATTTTTAACGACCACAGAGAGTCAGGACCTCGGTTTTACGGCTCATCCGAAGGACGGCACCTGTTTACAGTATAGTGTCCCCATCACTATACTGGGGCATTAGGACCCACGTGGACCACAGGGTGAGCACCCCCTGCTGGCCCCACTAACACCTCTTCCAGCAGCAACCTTCCCATCCATCCAGGTACTGACCAGGCTCACACCTACTTAGCTTCAGTGGGTTGCCAGTTGTGAGTTGCAAGGTGATATGTTTTCAAGAAATATTTCTGATAATTACACTCACTTTTGAGGTAGCAAAAATTATTTTCACAGGTTCACTGGTTACCCTCACCCTGCTGAGGAGCCCTAAAAAGGTCAAAAGAGCTGTTCATGACTAATAACATTAAGTACACAGTATATGCAAAGTGCAATTAAAAATACATTTGCACTGTTCTGCTTTCTAGCAGTGTGGAATAATGAGTGCTAATATTCAAACATTCACTAATACATACTATACTGGATACTGAGAATAAAGAGAGGCATGACTTATAGCTGCAACAAATTCACAAAGTTATTTTTAGGAAAATGACAAAATCTTTTTTGTAGCAGGTACATACAGTAGCACAGCAAAACTACCACATTGTCATCTCATGAGAAAACCTTTGTTACATGCCAAGCATGAGGACCTGTATTTTTCTAATGGAATGTTGTCACATCAGGATAGACAGCAAGTGAAGTTTTTAGGACTTGATCATTATAGCATAGTCAGGTTGCCATCAATTATTTCAAGTAGAGTTCAGTAATGACTAGTCAGTCTTGCCCAGACTATCACACTTAGATCTCCCTTTCAATTTGTCTGTTGTACACAGCAGTTAGCATTATGTTCTGCCTGTCTGCATCACACTCACTGATATCCATCCATAAGGGTGGTCTATAGAAAATCTGTTTGACTCATTCCTAAATTACACTCAGCACTACTGCTAGCAAGTGCACCTGAAGCGATGTAGTCCAGCCTCCAATATACTAATGGCACAAAGGTGTTGTTCTAATAAGCAAGGCATATTGGTTTCTTTGTTTTTGTTTCTTGATTTTCACCCAGCTTGACATTCAACAGATTAAATCACTTCATCACCTGGGTCCAATTTACTCTCTCATGAATGAGGTGATTTATTGCTTATGCAACAGTCAAAGTCACCCGAGTGTATTGCGGTCAGTCACAAATGATCAATTAATCAAAATGATGCATAAAACATTCTATCTATATTCAATTGTCTATGTAGTGCATTTTTCTAAAAACAAATGCATATAGTGATACTGTATGTTTTGTTGGATTCTCGGTATACATTGTATACTTAAAAAGTAGCTAATATACTGTCCATGCAGCATGCTTATGCATTGTGTGGATGAGAAGAATAATTGTAGTCTGAAGAACTGCATGGAGCCCATCCCTGGACTAAATCTTATGTTAAGGAGTCCCAGGAAGGGAATATAATGGAAGAAATTGGCAAGGGCTGTTAGAGGATAGTTCTTACATTCTTAATGGTTTGTAGCGGCCATTGAAGTTATTATACCCTGGCCTTTTTTCTGTGGCTGCTCTGCAAGTGTTCCCCAATGTTCCACCATGAGATTTGTGAATAGCCAAGAAAGGTAGGAATGTGCTAAGGTATTTGTTCTGCTCATTGCAGACACCACTTGGGGTGAGGCATGATTGGTCGTCTACTACACACTATGTTGGGAAATAATTTGCTGAGGATGGTTTTTATGAACTTTCTTCCAGATTTCTAGCAGATTGTCGAGGCTCACTTTCCACATTTCACTGAATAAACAGTTTTTATGTGTCCATTTGGATTTAAATAATGATTTAAAACCATCCAACGTGATTGACAGAAACACAATTAGGATTTTTACGGATGCTTCCATTGTTCAACTTTTAAAAGTCTACACAGAGTGGTTTTACAAGTGCTGTTAAGTCAACTCAGTGCTGTGTTTCCTGTCTCACTTCACTGTTTGGCTAGTGATGCATGCTCCAAATTGCCTATCAAGAACCTTTTTATAATTCTTTTCATACTGCTGTCCTAACACATTTATCATTTTAAATAAATTCTATACAAATTTGCAAAAAAAAATGTTAAGAAAACTACAGCAATTTATATATAGTATTTTTACAGTATCTGCAGTACATATACCGACACCTGAAGAAGGCTTCACAGCCTAAACATTGTGTTTCTTTTCTTCTCTTTTCAGCATGGAAGAAACCTTTACTTGTTCATATGCAGTACATATTTAACATTTATATTGGAAAAACTACATTTCTCGACAAGATAGGACTGTAGCATGTTTTTTCCAAGTTGTATATACTACAAAATCATAAAAATAACAAATCTTCTATTAAAATATTTCTGCTCAAAAAGATTAATTATGGTTATTATTAAGATGATGATATTATTTAAATTGTTTTGTATGTATCCCACAAGGGGAAAATGTGTGATGACATACAGATTATTAGAACTGAAAGATGTTAAAATTGTATTATTTTTATACTCAGGTGAGGTTGTGAAAAGGACATTCCTTCATTACCAAGTATCCAGATAAGATAAGACACAGTAGTTAACTATTCTAAGGACAGAACGATTTTTTTATATAAGGATATGATAAAAAAGAAAAATTGAATTTCTATATCCCAGAACCAGTAAAATAGAGGGGAAACTGAACATTTTAAAATGATTGACGGGGTCAATTTAATCTTTATCTTATTGTAGATTAATATGTGCAGTGCTGAGGAAAGGTATGTGAACTCCCAATTTCAATCTGAGTTTGGGTTCTCATGGCTTATATAATGTTCAGTAACTTTGTGAGTTTGGTCTTCAACATTTAATACAGGTTAGTGGAAAAATGTCATGGCAAAACCAAGAGATTTTGGAGGACGATTGGTGCAACATCCATTACTGTCAGATAGAATGGGTCATCCCACTAATATCTCCTGAAGAGCTACCTGAAATTTCATTCAGGCAGTCAAAAAAAACACTAGAGTAATATCTAAGTCCTCTCTCTCTGTGTGTAATGTCAGTGTTAATGCCTCAATCATGAGGAAAAGACTGAGTACTTTTCATGGGAAGATAGCTTTCATGGGAAGATAGCTAGAAGATGCTCTCTATAAACATTTCTTCCCATCTCAAGTTCCAAAACAATAGACAGATGATCCACAAGACTACTGGAAAGATGTTCTTTGAACAGACAAATCAAAAGTTAAATCTTGTTGAAACTTATTGTGTGGCAAAAACCAAACACACTGGTATCAAATGATTCTCATCCCACCATCAGGCATCATAGTAGGACGGAGTCTCATGAAGGTTTGCCATTCTTGGAGTATCATGAATTTGTTGTTGTGTCAGCATATTCGCTAGCTGAAGCCAAATAAAAAATGGGACAGGAAGAAAGAAAATGCAGCAACATTCAAGCAGATCTACAACAGAATGGCTGAATAGGAATACATTTTCTGTTTTGCTTGGTCAAGACTTAAACGTACTGCAATGCTTGATGTGAGATGCTCTTATCTAGCCTTTTATCAAAATGTCGTGGACTTCAAGCTGTTCTGTAAGGAAGAGTGGGCC